CCAAAGCCAGCAGTACTTCTAAGCCACCCCGGCCATGCCCATGCCAGCGGCACTTCTAAGCCAACCCGGCCATGCCCATGCCAGCGGCACTTCTAAGCCAACCCGGCCATGCCCATGCCAGCGGTACTTCAAGCCAACCCAGCCATGCCCACGCCAAAGGTATTTCAAGCCAGCCTGGCCATGCCCACGCCAGCGGTACTTCAAGCCAACCCGGCCATGCCCACGCCAAAGGTATTTAAAGCCAGCCCGGCCATGCCCACACCAACGGTACTTCAAGCCAGCCCAGCCATGCCCATGCCAGCGGTACTTCAAGCCAGCCCAGCCATGCCCTCGCCAGCAATACTTCAAGCCAGCCCGGCCATGCCCATGCCAGCAGCACTTCTAAGCCAACCCAGCCATGCCCATGCCAGCGGTACTTCAAGCCAGCCCGGCCATGCCCTCACCAGCAATACTTCAAGCCAGCCCGGCCATGCCCACGCCAGCAGTACTTCAAGCCAACCTGGCCATGCCCATGTCAGCAGTACTTCAAGCCAGCCCGGTCATGCCTACGCCAGTGGTACTTCAAGCCAACCTGGCCATGCCCGTGCCAGAGGTACTTCAAGCCAAATGAGCCATGAACCCACAACAGCGGTACTTCAAGCCAACCTGGCCATGCCCACACCAGCAATACTTCAAGCCAACCCGGCCATGTCCACACCAGCGGTACTTCAAGCCAGTCTGGCCATGCCCACGCCAGCAGTACTTCAGCCTCTTCAGCTGCCTCTCTGCCTGCGGGTGCATCTCTTTGCACAGCTCCATGCTCCCGGCTGACAGGGGGAAGGCACGACCTGGCATGGCACCAGCCAGCCAAGAGAAATGGCCAGGACCAGGCTGGGCCCCCAGAGATGGTGCCTTCCCTTGGCCTGCTGGGCAGAGTTGGCAGAGCTGTGCAGGGATGACACCTGTGGCAGGGGTCAGGGTGCCTTTGGTGTTCCTGATCCTCCTCCCTCTCCTCCCCAGCACCAGAAACAGGGACCCATCCTGAGCATCAGGACACCATATCCATGCCACATGCTCCCTCTGCACCACCAGGACCAGGTCTAAATAGCAAGGATAAGCAAGGAGTACAGGAGATGGGAGAGACTGCATACCTATGGCTACAGAAGGATTGGCAGACAAGGAAAGGTAGGGGGAGAGTGAGGGGGACTGAGAGACAGACAAGTGGACAATCATGTGCAGATGGATGCAGGAGTGGTTGCTGTGGCATTGGATGGAGAGATGGGTGTGTATGAGACAGGATAGACAGGTGCTGCCTGTGGTTCTGCATCTGGCTCAAAGTTCAGTGTGTCTGTAGCACTGAACACAAAACTCTGGACCATGGTGCCAGGTGCTGCTCTGCACAGGGCTGTAAGGGATTAGCAAACAAAAGGTGTTTGAAGCCAGCAGCCTTGCATCGCCAGCCAGGCCTGAGCCCATCCAGTGCCTGCAGCATAGGGGTCCACCCCCACCACACAAGTCTCCTGCTGGGGTATAGGTGAGCTGGGCAGTAACTGTAGGCCAGCAAATTCCCCTCACACTCAGGGCCTGTCCCATGCTTACAAGACTAGAATACTAGCTGCACGCTCTTTGGAGAGGTCTCGGCACTGAGCAGGTTTTACATTCTCTGCTTGGGAAGAGGGAATAAGGGGCAGTGGCAGGGAAGGGGGGGCAGAGTTGGGCTGGCGAGGGGCTGTAGGTCAGAAGTGATGGGAACCAATGGGTTTGGGTGGGGCAGGACTAGGCTGGCATGGGAGGTTGCAGGTCAGAAATGAGTGACACTGGCAGGGCTGAGGTGGTTGGGACTCAGGGCTAGATTGGCAGGGGTTTGCCTTGGTTCTCTCGTGGTCTCATGGTTAGGGGTCTGGAAGCTAGGACTCCTGGGTTCTGTCCTGGTACTGGGAGGGGTCAGGGGACTGATGGATTGAAGCAGGGGTTGCTGAGAGTCCAGATTCCCGCGTTTTACTCCGGCTCTTGGTGCCGTGTTGAGTGCTAATGCTGATCACATACAGAACTAGTCTTGGTGAACAGCATCTTAGTTCCTTGAGCCTCCTTTCCGCAGTAGTATCTCGCAACTCGGTACACTGAAGGCCTCAGGTTCTACTTAGCTGGAAGCTGGGTCAGATCCAGAGATGTCTGCTGACTGAGCGTTTGCATGCCTAAGGACAATCACAGCATTCTCAGGAGATGTACTTTGGAGGCACTGTGTTGTTCACATTACATATTGACCTGCTTTTCCTGCAGAAGAACCACTAAAGTCACATTTGAATCATACACAGAGGTGGCCTTTGCTTGGGACCAGCAGTCTGGACTCCCATCCCTGTAGTGCACATACCCAGGCAGAGCTGCTGCTCTCACTGCAGCTTTTACTGTGCTTTATTGTATGTTATTCTTGGTGTATTACGCCTTTTTAGTCCTTTCCTTGGTTCTTGGATTCCCTTGTGGGGTTTTGTAAAGTCCAGAGCAGGTCAAGGACATAATCTGTAGGAACTGCCTGATATTTGGGGGGGAGTAGGGAGGTTGGGAGGCAGAGGGGTGAACAAAACTATTTTACCAAATACTGAACCTTAAAACAGGGGTTGACTCACACAGAATCCACTTGTGATTCAACCAATATGACACACAGGGAGTGTAAGCAAACCTGCAATAAGGATGAAACTCTCCTAGGCTGGGAAAAGTAAGAACATAATTGAGTGTGTTAAAGGGGTGCTTAATGACTAAATAAATGTGGATTGATGTAATTCAGAACAAAAATTGGCAAAAACACTAGTTTATAATACAGATGTACAGGAAAACTCATTAAGTGAAATTAGGTTATGGGATCAGTTAGTAATATGTATTTATTCTGGTAATAGTATAAAATGTTAATATTTACTGCTAAATTATTTTGCTGATTAATGATATGCAATAATTACTATTGTCATACTGATACATATATTACTTGTTCAGCCATAATAATAACTGATGCTGATGCATTATTGACAATTAATGATTAATTACCCATACTCATGAATTAATCTAATTCAGTATACAATTATAAAATCATTGTTATATGTAATAACTTACCATATATTACTAGTAACTAGATATACTTCTGTTAAAATAGTATAATAA